TATTATTATTATTATTATTATTATTATTATTATTATTATTATTATTATAATTTTAGACTAATGAAATAAATTCTTAGATTGAAAGACAAAGATATTGAGCACTAGCGACACAGCCTGTCGGCTCTAATTTATAAAAGTACATTATATATTGAGCCTAATAGTTTTAGTAAAGTAATATATTGTATTGATATTCCGTTCTGTAGCAGATTGTAGAATGCTCATTGGATTAGTTGCTCCAAATTCAATACTTCTAGCCAAGGAAAAGTTAAGGCAGTCACAGAGGATGTGCTTTATAGAAAGAATTTGTCCACAATGCAGTCTGCAGGGGAGGAAGGCTTCTTTAAGATCGACTGGTGAGTTGCAATTGTATGAGTTCTCGAAAACGTTTACTTATTTTTTATTTTCTATTTTATTTTATTTATTTTAATTCTACTTATACATGAAACTCAACTAAACAAATGACAGTCGAGTTCAACTGGCTCTTAATGCAAAACTTATATTAATTAATAATAAAATTTAGTATAAGTATAATAAAACAAATAAGAAGAAAAAAAAAAAGAAAAAGAAAAAAGAAAAAAAAGCATATACACTATCAGCATAGGAGCACACTTACAACCGGTACAGGACCAAATTGCAAATGAACCGATAATAAATTGACAATAATTCACTTTCGAAACGTAACGACTTTTTAAGGATAAAAGCTAGTTTAAATACGACATAGGTAAATCGCGCGTATTAAGCAATGTTGCTTTAATGGACTTTAAAGAGTCCGATAACGAGAATAAGTGGTAGACGTCATTTAGGTTCTTGCAAGCGACTCTGAGCGGATTGAACAGCTCATAATTAAATTTACACTGATTAAGCTTAACCAAGATAAAGTGCCTAGAGAAGCGGTTAGGGACATTAAAGCTTATTTCACCAAGTAATGAAGGCGAGTCAATAGCACCATTTATTACTTTAATTAGAAAGGAAACGCCAAGAACAAATCTACGTTTCTCAAGAGACGGTAGGGACAGCAGAAGCAACCTATTTTCATACGGAGGAAGAGAGGCAATCGGATCCCAACCCAAATTTCTAAGGGCAAACAGCAAGAATTGCTTTTGAACAGATTCAATTGAATCTACATAGCACCAATATGGAGGAGACCACACAACAGAGGCATACTCGAGTGTGGGTCTAACCAAACACATTTTCGTAATGTAGGGATCATCAAGGTCTTTGGACCACCTCTTTATAAAACCAAGCGCGGACCTAGCTTTGCTTACCGAGAGCTCAATAGGCACGTTGAAACGTAACCTATGGTCAAATAGAACGCCTAGATCTGTGATCGAATCGACGTCCTCCAACTTATGCGAATCTATGAAATATTGAGTAATGAATGACTTTCTTCTTGCGAAAGAAAGCTTCTTACATTTACTCAGATTTAGTTGCAGAAGATTCACAGAGCACCATCCAACAAAATTACCCAATTCACCTTGAAGCTGTTGTGATTGCGATTCAACAGAGAAGGAAGAAAACAGTTGCACATGATCAGCAAACATTAAGATCTGGCTGGAATTAACCACCGATGGGAGATCGTTAATGTATAAACTAAATAAAATGGAACCTAAGTGACTTCCTTGAGGTACCCCAGACGTAACGGGGAATTCATCCGAGGTGATGAAGTTAAACAAAACCCTGAAGGATCTATTGTGCAGATAAGTGCTTATCCATTTCACTAAATAGAAAGGGAAGCCAGAGGCTTGGAGTTTAAAGATAAGTAACGCTTTGCTTAAATCAGTGTATATAACATCTGTGCGAGAGCCACTAGAAAAAGACTTGAAAACATGACAAGTAAATTCTAACAAGTTGGTAACGGTAGATCGCCCTTTCTGAAAGCCGTGCTGGTGCGGAGAAATATACGAATTAATGGCAAAGGCCACATGATGAGTCACAATTCGCTCGAACAACTTGGGCAGTTGCCTGCTTTCACTTTTGTGGATAGGAATAAGGAAACTACTCTTCCAACAAGAAGGGAAAACACCTAAATTCAAGGACAGGTTAAAAATCTTGGAGATCACACCACACAACTCGACAGCGCAAGATTTAATGATGGAATTCCATCAGGTCCAGGCGAACAACTGTATTTTAGAGAACTCAACCCTTTGAAAACATCATCTTCCGAAATAACCAAGTTAGGTATTGAAACCGAGTTAGTTATAGGATATGGGTAGTTTGCTGGTAAATCGAAATTAGCAATCGAAAAGTTTCGTCGGAAATACTCAGCAAATAGATTTGAGATTTTAAAATCATCCGAGAAATCAGAGCCATTAAAAGAAACATGAGAGGGATATTTGGAAATTTTTCTTCTAGAGTTAACAAATATAAAGAAGAATTTAGGATTAGCAAACAGAGAGGATTTAATGGACTGAAGGTATCTGCAGTAATAATGATGGTTGACGTAGTTACATCTATGCCTCGCCACCGAGTAAGCGACATAGTCGAGCGCAGAGACACTTTTCGACTATTTTTTGAATAGCGAGTTTTTTCTATTCTTGTGATATTTAATTGTCTTATTAAACCATGGGGGACACCTGCTTCGAGGTCGACACTGCTTGATCGGAACAGATGCAGCAATAGCTAGATTTAATGTATTGTAGAACGATGACAATAAGCTTTCAATACTACCGGTTGAGAAGTCAAGCGTCAAATGTGAAAGACGATGTTTTAGTAATGCAGTATTGATTTTATAAAAATCATAACAATTATTTAAAAAAGTTTGATTTGGCACATTAAGGCATTTCAACAAACCATCGTTAATATGATGAAAGGAAATGCATATTGATGGATGATAAGGATCCTCAGGTAAACTAAAAGGTGGACAATGATTTACGTCTACCATTGCAATTAGGGGTACGATTATATTGAACAAAATTATGATCAAACAATTCACTAAAGAACACAACAGCCCTATCAAACATTGAAGTAGGAATCAAACAGCCAGAGTTATCATTGTGACACCAAATGACTTGAGGCAAGTTGAAGTCACCCAATGCAACGACCAAATCGGTGGGTTTAGACCGCTTGGCCAATTCACAAATAAGGGCAGCGTGTTTCTTGTAAATGAAGACATCAGAGTTTGGGGAAATATAGTAGCAGGTTATAAATAGCTGTTTATTAGGCATTTTCGCACGTATGGGGAAAAATTCAGCGTCAGGAGAAGTGGGAAATTTTATTAAATTGGACGGGACTGACGCGAGATATGGCAATTAATACACCACCACCAATGCGATTCCCTCGATCATTTCTAAAGACTTGGAAAGAATTGT